ATTCCTCTAGTTGATTGGTGATTAGCTTCTTAACACTGAGAACTTCACCTGGATCAGTACGCTCACTCACTGACGATGCAAGATGACGACCATGAGAAGCCTGTTTTACCAGTTTACGAAACCTATCCAACTGCTTCTCGACAGAATTCCTCTTAGCGCTAGCAATCTCTTCTATCTCCATTAGTAGATCATTGCATCTCTTATCTAAAGCAGCTTTAAGCTCTTCAAACGTTTCCTTAATTTCCTGCCTTACTTCTTCTTTACGTGTTACTATCTGCTCTAGCATCTTCTCTCCATTAGCAATAGCTTCAGTGACTGGAGGAATGACTCCATCACAACTAGCAACACTTTCCTTTAATGCTGTACAAGCTGTTTCACCTTCATCTATGTAGTAATTGTAATTGTGACTTTTATGGTGAATGTTAAGACAAATCTGACAAACTAATTTATCGCAATCCTTGCAGTAGTATGTCAGCTTTTCTGAATGTTGAATGCAATAAGCTGCCTCATGCTTAATAGCAGGTAATTCAATAGATTCCTTTGTTTCTAGATCAATCAACTTGTGATTTGCTTCTTTCTTGTTTCGCTTATGAACTTTCTTGCAAAGATCACACAGAAACTGGCCACACTCACAGCAATACATGACAGCTGCATCACTGGAATCATCGCATTTATCACACGATGTTGCTTCCTTACTAACAATCTTCTTTTTGATCGAAGCCTCTTTTGATTTATGTTCAAACCAAAGGTTTTGAGTGAGGCCTTCAATTTTACCATGAGGTAAATTAACGCTAGTGTCACACGTTGGACACTTTAATGAGGTATCAGCACTACCTTGCTTCTCTTTAGCTTTTATTAGACACTTCTTACAGAATGAGTGAAGACAGGGAAGCATGAGGGGGTCAGTGTAATACTCTGAACAAACCTCACAAGTCATAGTGATAGCTGGACTCGTGTTTTCTGCCATTTCCTATGAAGAAAATAAATCATCACAACATGATACCACTGAATGAAGTATGGTACTTTTAAGAAGTGTTCTTAGTCAAAAAGCAACAGAGTATATGGTGAAAATGAACCAAGATGGACCGTAAAGAGAAAGAGCATGGAACCCCACCTTAAAGTGGGTTGTTATTTGATCTGCCCACAAGTCACCCATGGCCGAGCCCATGGCGTCCAATGGTGATGCTGGTTTCAAGGTCTCAGTAGAATCACTCGATACTACAAGAGTCAAGGAGAGTCAACTATGATGGAGAAGAGATATATGAAGGGTAACAGTCATATATTATAATAATACAGAGTGCAATTCTAGTTGAATATGCCCACTAATTATTGCAAATTTAAGTTGGGAATTCTAAACTAAATACTGTAAGGAGACAATTGTTAGCAGGTATTTAATTTAGCAAATTTTAGTGATATTAAAGAAATTGCTAGCTTTAGTCTGTGCTAACTTTAATTTCTAATTAAATTATTAATAGTTATTAATATTAATTATTATAAAAAGCACTAACTTAAAAACCAGCCAAATGTCTGTATCATAAAAATTGCTAAAATAAGTACACACTAATAATTGTCTCCTTAAGGTAATTAATAGCATTAGAATAGGTACTTGTAACATGCAAATGATACTGTAGTTTGCCATTAAATATATTATGTATTTATTTGTAGCCTGGACTGAGACCTTCTCTCTCTCAGAAACTAAGTGAATTAGCTCAACATGTTGACTTTAGAGAAGAGAGAGCTGATAATGATAATGACAGAGAAGAAGGAAAGAAGAAACAAGAGGAGGAGGAGGAGGAGGGAGTTTCTGGTCCTATAACTAAGAAACCAAGTCATCTGGCCATGGGAATTCACACACTCAAAACTCAAGTACATAAATGCATGTATTTATATAAACAAGAGTGTAAATCATGTATCACTGTATTACATATATAGACCAGTTGTTGCTAATAGAACTTTAAGTATCGTATAGGGGTTTTATTTTGTTGGTATAAAATTTTGCGAATTTGTTCAGATTTGCCATTTGTTGGTATAAATTTTCATGAATCTTACCTTCTGCAGCCATTTTTACTAGTGTGCCACACCTCTTTTGTGGAATTTAATTTCGTGAATTTAACGAAAACTCGAAATTCGCAAAATTTATTACCAGTGAAATATAACCCCTATACGGTATATTCATTGTGATACCATAAATAAACTAAAGTTTTTCTACCGCCATTTTGGAGTCTTAGTTTACTATAAGTAGAATAGGAGAAAGCAATATCTTTGCTTCCATAGGTCCTAGTGAGTAGTGACACTTATTAAAGTCCATGAGCCAACTCCAGACACTGGATGATGGTCAGTAAGCAGTAGCAAGATTGCTGTAATGAAAAATACAGCAGTTTTTGGAGAATAAGCTCTTTTCACGATCACTCCATAGACAACCATTGAAACTAGGGCTCCAAAATGGCGGCAGGAAAATTTTACTTTATTTACGGTATCACAATGAATATACTTAAAATTCTATGAATATAGTTAGTGCCAACTGATCTATAAGAGATAGTTAAACTTTTATTATTAGTTTTGTCTTTATTGCAGGCAAGCATTGACTGAAGGTAGTGTACTGTCTGATGTGTTAGAAATTGTTCATAATCATCATCAATACTTGTCACTGGATCCAGTTTATGTTAACAAGAAATACAAGAAATACACATTACCTCCTTCATATCAATACCAAATTAAAAAGAAGGTTAGCTTCTCATGATTTGTTACTTTACTCAGTTATGCATGCACAATACATGTACCTCAATATAGAAGATTATAAAGGCATAGTATTGGCCATAGTGTGAATGTACTATTTCTTTACCTGTATTGTGTTTAATATAATTAGGTACACAGATCAATAGCAGTTCTTTTAGTGAGCTTTGTCTCTATTAGATTCATAGTTAATGAATGTGTACACATTGTGTATGTACATGTACATGTATGTTGATTTTATTGTGAGTTTTTCTCAAGGCACTTGATGTATTCATAGCTTTAAAGATATTAAGAAAAGGAGGTGAGCCACTCAAGAGATTATCCAGTCAAACTGATCACAAGTTTTACAGAGCATTATATGATTTAAGAAGAAGATGGATACTACGTAGAACAGCTAATGGAGTCAGTGGAGACCTCAGCTATAGATCAGGTAACTTAATCGTAATGAAGTATGACACACACACAGTATAAGAGTAATGGGTACTTTAAAAATTCACTGAAAAATAGTGTGTTGTGGTTTGACCTTAGACTAATTTGTGTAACTGTGGTTTATGTGAGGGATGACAGCTCTGGCTTGCTCAGGCTTGCCCAGGTTGTCATATAACTAGGAACTCTCATTGTTATGTGTTTGTCATGTGTGTGTGATATGTATAACCGGTTTTAACTTGTTTGTATCACATGATTTTTAATAAATGATGTACATATAAAAGTGCCCAACCATTTCTGGTAGGTAGTGGTGGGTGATACTGGCCAAAATGGATTTGATACGATATCGATTGATATCAGCTCATATCAGGAGTATTGATATAGTTTCAATACGATATTTAGACCACACCTATGGAGTCACACCCCTTATTACTAACTTTTTTGATCGATGTTTTTATGCACGTGTATTCACGTGTGTGTATTATACATCATTAACTTATTAAAATTTTCATTATTAATATTAGTTCACCTTAATAAATGGGCGTGGTCAACGTATTGATCCGGATTCCTTCAAAATTTTGATACCAATACGAATCGATGCCGTAAAATATTGTTTGTATCAATAAAATATTGATATATCACCCAGCACTACTGGTGTGTACAGTTGATTCTTTGGCCAAATGGTTCTTGTAGTTGGTGTAAGCCCGTGGGCACGTGTTGATCTCTTACAGTGGTGAGGGAGACACAGAAAGGAGACAGTCAATGGGAGACAGTAACATTGTCACTATGAGAGACAGGAGTGAGGGAGAGACACCTTAGGTACTAGACTAGTGTGTATTTGTACTGTGAGGTACAAGCCGTGACTATAGTGCTCAAAAATCACGTCAAAGTCCCTGTACTGGGATTTTGGCCAAATTTTGTCAAAATGAAGAGGAGAGAATCCTCCATTTTAGTAATTTTGTCTGATACACACACATGTACTTAGGTTGTGTAGGAAGTTTGAATGGACTCTTGTCAAATTTGAACTTTTAAAGTTGCTCCAAATGCCACAGTATTGTAGTGCTTGCCAGCTCATGAAGCATGCTGTTTAGCTCACTTGTGGGAAACCCTGCAATACATGTACCGTATTTCCTTAAATAAAAGCCCGGGCGTCTATTTCCTAAAATGATACTTGGACCTCCAAAAAATATATAAAAAATAAAAAAAACTTTGGCCCAGAGCGGGATTCGAACCCGCGGCCTCAAGCTTTGACTTTTGGAACTTCAGGCATTGCCCACTAGACTACTGAGTCACTCCTAGGCTGGTGTTGCGTATTTATAGTTTAATTCTATTGCTACCCCGGCGTTTATTCGAATGCGGCTTCTATTTAAGGAAATACGGTACATGTATAAAAAAAGGTAATAAAAATTAGAGGTGATTTTTGGGATTCAATTAAAAATAGCCATGTGCTACAGTGTATACATATATAATGGCCTTTATTTTATTAGGTTGCCCATTTTTAATATTTATAACTTCAAAATTATGTCTCATAATCAGTTCAAAACTTTCTACACAGCATAAGGACATAAATATGTATCAGAAATGCAATAAAAAATATTGAAGTTAATTTTGGAGCCTTTGCTTTTTTCAAAAATTGATTTAAAAAAAAAATTGGACAGAGTTTACCTCTGACAACATATTTTGTGTTGATAAGAGTGAAAGAGGAAATTTACATGACTTATTTCTATCCTATTCTCTGTCCTTTCCTCCCCACCCTTACTCTCTCCTCCTCCTCTCATTCTCTAGTGGTTTAATGGACAGGATTGTATTATCATCAAAATCAGGTCACATGTCACATTATTTTGCTAAAAGAGTGAGTTTTATTGATTTTGTCTTATGTTTAAATATTCTTTTTTTTCATTGCTCTATTGTGAATCCATTGGTTACAAATCATTAGATTAACTCCACTGAAGAGTATCATTCAACTTGATCCTTGCCTGCGTCACATGAGTGGGTGTGTTATCAGGGGCTGGTGGTGTTGTAAGTGATGGAGAAAAAACTGATACTGACTACTGAGAGTGAATAAGAAGAAGCTAAACCAGTCACTGTATGCTCTCTCTCCTCTTGCTCTGATCTTTTATGATCCTCTCTCTTTTTATCTTCCTCCTCTGTCTCCTCATTCCCCTCTATCTCTTTCCCCCTCTCTCCCTCTCCTCTCTCTCTCATTTCAGGTAAGGTTTGCTAAAGCTGCAGCTAAAGGTAAACAAAAGGTTGAGCCTGAGGAACTTTGGAAACTCTAAGCTACCTCTAACCTGAAGTAAAGCTATTGATACTTGTTACTAGTATAGTATTTTATTATTTTTATTGTATTAGGTGTCAATGTATGGTAGTTGAAGAGGTGTGTCTCTTAATTCATTGGATCAATGTTCCCTCCCACTCAATGCACTGGAGACTGGAACTGAGACATAGTGTCATTCTTCCTTAGGAATAGAGGTAAATGATACTATTTATAGTTACACTGATACTATTTATAGTACAATGCTATTGATTGAGACTATGCTATTGTAGTATATGATATATCATTGTCTATTGTAGTAATTGATATTATTTATAGTAACGATGCTAATGTACACATTTGGTAGTGATTTAGTAATTCAAAAATTGTCCATTGCACAAAAATTTGTTGTCGAAATCAACTCAAACTTTTTTATTAGCAACAGACAGACAGACGTAAATAGTAATAATGATGTATATTTCTTTGCTTGGCTCGTCCCCTTAATGTTTTACATTCATCTTGTAATAATGTATCATTAATAATAATAATAGTTATAAACAGAACAAAGTAAGATACTATAGGCAGCCATCTTAACAAAATAAGTGATAATAGAAAATAATAATTTCAATAAAAAAAGAACTAAGCAATCAACTGGTTTGATGTACAATATTTATCTCTAATGTTAGTAGCAATAGGTTTCTCTTCTATTGTATCCAGTGCTATAGCTAATGATGACCAACTGGGACCTCCTTTCTCTCTCACTTTATCTTCTCCTCTTAACCAGGCAGACATACAAGCATGGAAACACTCCACTGTCTTTCCTCTATAGTCAGTTTCTATAGCCTTTAGTCTAGGATCATATAATCCTAAATGAAGTCCAAACTGAATCCATTTAGTACAATCCAATTGATTGAGTATTGTTAGCTCTTCAATGACAATATCAAGATCTTTAATATCTATAGAAATAATAATTAATAATGTCTTATGCACACGGTCTGCACTCCCACTACCTGACAATTTAGCTAATACATTTTAACATACCTAGCTTTATTGTAGTGACATCTGTGTTGAATACATTAGCCTTTATTTCAATCACTTCCTATACAATGATAATAATAGTACAGTCTATAACTGATGTTTGTCAGTTTCAAGGTAGTGGTGTATTGCCGAAAGGTGAGTTTAACAGATGTGTACATTACTAGTATAAAAGCCACTCAACTCCAACCCACAATTATGACAAATTGACAAAGAAGTCTGTGTAATTACATTTATTACTATAGTAAAAGCCACACAATGAAAACCCACAATTATGACAATTATGATAAGATATAAAATTACTTTCAAGGTATGACCTTTTGATCATTAGTGCTTGTATTAATGTGGGTTCAGAATATTTGCGTTGGGACCGGAAGTGCTGTATAACGCAATGATAAACGCAACAATAGAGCAGAGTTCTATTCTTGCGTTCACCCATTGCATTATACAGCACTTCCAGTCGCAACGCAAATATTCTGAACTCACCTTTAATGTATCAAACAGTTTGTGTGTGTTAATTCTTACCTTAATGTCACGCCCTCCTAATAGTGACAGGTTACTAATATCTGATAATGATTCATCAGGTAGGATCTTCTTCAATTTTGTACATGTAGTACCAGTGGTAACAAGAAATGGTCGTTGTTCAACTACTGCTGAGAGTACAGCTTTTACACTATACACTGTCCTTTCTCTTGGTGTATTCACAGGATAGGCTAGTTCTTTAGGATCAATAACTAACTCTTTTACCTCTAGACTGGGACAGGATTCTTTATAAACACTCATTACCTCTCCTATCACATCTCTTCTTAGAGACACCATATTGTCACTGTAACCTTTCTCACAGGACATCATTACTAGTACACACTGGCTCTCATCCACAATCTCTACCAGTGATCCTACACCATGACCATTAGACCAATAAAATCCATTCTTCCAAAATTTACAGTAACGATTTAACTTGTCATCTTCTTGAGGTATAGCCATTTTGTAAGCAAGACGTAATGAGAGGACATGGAAGTATCGAGGAGGAAAGAAATGATGTTTACTAGTACACTGTAGACACCAACCAAACTGGTACACTTGACTAGTCATCTCATCAGGTCTATCAGTAGACAAAAGACATGGAAAGAACAACAACATTTCTCCTCTTCTTTCTGTCCCTCCCTCCTCCTCCTCTTCCACTGCTAACTGATGGAGGTTTGTCATTCTTAGGAAAGATGGATCATTCATTTGTTGACAGAGCTCCATGTTCTTTAGGAAACAGATCAACATGTCAGGATCATATTTAGGGAAAAGTCTAGTCAGACGAGACACACTAACAATACCAGTATTGCTAGCAATGTCAACACGTTCTTTAAATGTTTCTGGAGCAAAGAGAATCCCATTCACCTCAGTCAGAAGTATACCCTTATTCACAACAACCCATACCTTGTCTTCACTTTTAAGAACACTGATCAAACCAGTTGAGTGCAATGAATCAAGAGCATCCAAGACATCTTCTCTCTTATCTGATAAATTATAATCATTATTGTCCTCAGTAGCAAATGTTACATCAGAGAGGGTCAGTATATTCTCTTTCCTTTCCTCCAGTAGACCATACATCATGTGACAATAAAGACTCAAATTCCTTCCACTTGTACTACGAATGGACCCACAGGCACTAGACAACTTATTAAAGAAGGAATCCACACCACTCCCACCAAGCTTACGACAATCTAAGAAGATACTATCACACCTTTCCCTTACAATAATTTCCTTTAATCCTTCCTTTTTCCTTCTCCTTTCAAAAGGATTAGTAAATGTCTCATCCACATGACTGACTATTAAAATAACGTGGCATTGATTAAGAGCTTTCTGTGCTTCATTTCTGACAACTGTTAGCCACTGATGAAGCTGTTTGACTGGTTCCTTCTCCAATATATTGACTACTATTAGGAACACACCACCAGAACCTTGTAACAGATTTTCAATGACAGCACTGTGACTTGAGTAGTATTCAGAATGACCAGCAAAATCATGAAGAATGATGTTGCCCAGTGTCCTGTGTTGTAGTTTATAAGGAATGATACCAGCAGTACAAGGCACCACCCCTCCAACATTTCTAAAGGAACCAAGAACAATAGAACCAGTAGCTGTCTCATTGATGACATTACTAAGTGTACTTTTACCAGCTCCAGGATTACCCACAAGGAGGACGTTAACATAAGAATCAATTGGATGAGATGATTTTATATCACCAAACTTCTTAAAGATAGGAAGAGTAGTAGTCCCACCTCTCTGCTTTGCCTCTTTAGCTAGTTGTAATGGTGTTTTTCCCTGATTGTCTTTAGCTAATGGATCACATTTACCAGTTGATAGTAAACATTCAATAGCTTCAGAATGACCCCAACGAGCAGCATTGTGAAGTGGTGTCCACCCCTTCTTGTCAAGAGCCATTGGATCACAATTACACTCATTAATTAGATATTTGATTACATCAGGTGAGTTGCTTATACCAGCTGCTTTATGAAGAACAGTCTCACCATCATTGTTAGTAGTCATTGGATCACAGTGACACTCTTTAATGAGATACTTTACACTATCAATGTGCCTAGCAGCACAGTGAATGGCAGTCTCACCCCTATTGTTAGTAGCCATTGGATCACAGTGATGATGATTGATCAAGTACTTTATGGCATCAAGTGATCTGTTAAAGGTTACATAGTGAAGAACATTGTATCCACTCTCAGTAGTATCCATTGGATCACAGTGACACTCATCAATGAGATATCTCATCACATCAACATGACTACCTTGTGAAGCCCAATGAAGACAGTTCTGACCTCCACTATCTCTTTCCTGTGGATCACAGTGATATTTAGTGATGAGATCTTTTGTAATATCTAACCAACCATGCCTTGAAGACCAATGAAGTAAACTTATATTATCCCATACTATGTATAGTCCTTTAATTTTCTTTGGTTCCTTTACTAATGGTAGTAAGCGAACAGCTTCTTTATGATCTCTATTCCTAAACGCATCCCAACACTTGTCCTCTAACGACATCTTGTGATTAGTTAATTAGATTCATTGATACCATATTAGGAATGGGAAACCATTATTTATACACTATACAAACACGCACACACAAAATAGAAACAGAAATAGAAAGGATAATATGGACACCTACATCTTCAGCAATCTGCTTTATATTTATAGAAATAACAATAGTTTTAAATAACGTATCTTGTAGTCATGTTTTTCTCTAAAATCTCATAATTTTTAATATCATAGTATTTGCCCAATCCTTTCCTATAATCATCACATAACTTGTCATAAGATTATTCAGTTTCCCTTCCCTCCTGTCTCTAATAAATGAGTACTTTATGTATTCTTACTCTTCAAATCACTAGCTATAAGTACCTCCCTCAGCTCCTCCTCTTCCTTTCCTCCTCCTCCCCTCCTCTGATAACCTACACTACTGTACAGTCTCAAGCTTCTTCCAACAGATCTCTAGTGGTACATGTAACAATGAGTAATGGGACAAAGGAGGTAGCACCTGTTTAAAGTATTAGTGTTACCATGATCATTTGAAATTAAGAAATTAAATAAATTGCTGATTAAGAAACTCATGGGGTGGTTTGACCTTTTGATGCATGCTTTAAAGAGTGTAACTGAATTCAACTTCAGTGCCAATGTAATTTTAAGACTAGTACAATACCGTGTAGCCGAAAAATTTGGCTGTCTAAAACTTTGACTGTTTTGTATCAAAACTGCCTAAATATAATATTGGCGGTCATTTAATTTGGTGGTTTACTATCTTGTCTTTTCTTTAAGCACACTCGGCTCTTCTTGAAGCTGCTCCTTGGCAGTCCTTGCCCACAGTATTGACTTTGTGACTGAAATAGTGAGAAATACTGCCATTTTTAGTATAATGAACCCACCCATAATAATGGCATTTATTATTGGTGGTTTTATTTTGAACTGCCAATCCGCCAAATTTAATTCTCCGCCATATTTTCTGGCTATATGGTATTATAAATCCATCTTTATACAAAATGGATAAGGTCGAACCACATTCAGAATTAATAATTGGTACAACCAATAACTGTACAACAACCCACTAATGTGCAATCCAGACAGATTTTATTTAGTCGATTACACAAGTACTAATTTTAGCATTTAATTAACGTATTGTTCAATAATGGTATTAATTTATTTATATTTCACTTTAATTTTAATATCCCTGCTTAAATTAGAACAATTAATTTAATTTTGTTTTTTAGCTACACACACTCAGAGGCTCAGTTCTCCGATGCTTTACGATGAAGAAGAGAAAGGTTTTGTGTCTCTCTCTGTTCCTGAGACCAACAGTGATAGTGATAGTGATGATAGAGACGAGTCTCGTAGAATTGGAGTCCTGACACACCTCCAGTTTTGGGACATGATCATATCAATCCGTTGGCTAGTTTTGAGTCGAGTATAATATCAATTGATCTTAGCAGTAGTACCTTAATGAGTGCCTCAGTAGTTGAAGTTGAGGTAATTAACATTAGTTACACAGCTACATGTATGTATATGTACTTGTACTTGTATATATGTACATGTGCATGGTCATAACCAAATTGTTGTTCTCATAATCAATGTATTAACTTGTATGAAAATTGAGAATTTGAATTTTCTACCTTTTATTTTTGGCGAAATTTGGCTAAAGTCCCTGTACTAAGTTTATTAATAATTTTTTCAAAACAGATGAGTAGGATCCACTTTGTGCTAATGTGTCACCAAAAGTAATGGGAATAAGGACAAGTAGGATTCCAAATGACCAACGAAAATACAGAATGAAAATCCTACCGTCGTGATGTAAATTCTACTCTACA